ATATTGGAAGATGCTCTCATGTCTCCCCTGGTCCTTTTCTTCACTAGACTAGCCAGGCCCAGTTCCTTCAACCGTTCATCGCATGTTTTAGCCTCCAGTCCCCTCATCATCGTGGTTGCTCTTCTCTGCACTCTTTCTAGAGTCTCAATATCTTTTTTATAGTGTAGTGACCAAAGCTGGATGCAGTATTGTTCTAGGTGTGGTCTTACTAGGGCTTTATAGAGTGGTATTAGTACTTCATACCTATAGTAGTTCCCTTATCCGTTTATCATGTGGTTTTGCCTCTAGTTCCTTAATCGTCTTTGTTGCTCTTCTCTGCACTCTTTCTAGAGTCTCAATATCTTTTTTATAGTGTAGTGACCAAAGCTGGATGCAGTATTGTTCTAGGTGTGGTCTTACTAGGGCTTTATAGAGTGGTATTAGTACTTCATACCTATAGTAGTTCCCTTATCCGTTTATCATGTGGTTTTGCCTCTAGTTCCTTAATCGTCTTTGTTGCTCTTCTCTGCTTTGTAAAAGTTGGTTATAAAGCTTGCCATCTTTGTCTTGAGTATATATCTATGGTGATTCTCAGTCATCCGGGTCATGAAAATGTTTTTTCAAGAGGCAACTGGACTTTCTGGTTATTCTTTGAAGATGTTTTGCTTCTAATGCAAGAAGCTTCTCCAGCTCTGAATAGGTTTCTTGGATAAGAAGTGAAATGTCTTCAAAGAAAAAACAAGAAAATCCAGTTGCCTGAAGGGCCCTCTAAAGCAGTGTTTCTCAACCTTGTCAACTTGAAGATGTCCGGACTTCAACTCCCAGGATTCCCCAGCCAGCATTCGCTGGCTGGGGAATTCTGGGAGTTGAAGTCCGGACATCTTCAAGTTGACAAGGTTGAGAAACACTGCTCTAAAGGATGCAGATGACCAGCTGTCTGCAAGGAATATCAATCCTTCCATTCCCCACCATCCAGTCAGAGCTGAAGAAGCGGAATGTCTTCAAAAGAAAAACAAGAAAATCCAGTTGCCTCCTGAAAAAAAAGGCACCTTTGCGACAACCAGGACCTCGATGACTGAGAATCTTAGCTATCCAATTTGGGATGAAGACCCTTTGAATGGTGTGGAAGTAGGAATGGATTTCCAGAGGGAAAAATGCAGGCTACAGAAACCAGGAGTACCACTCAGGTAACCCTGAGGTCAGTTAAACCTTCAAGTCTCACCAAAAGGATGCAAAGGACCAGCTGTCTGCAAGGAATATCAATCCTTCCATTCCCCACCATCCAGTCAGAGCTGAAGAAGCTTCACGGATGAGAAGTGAAACATCTTCAAAGAAAAACCAGAAAGTCCCGTTGTCCTCGTCTTGACAGTATCTCGAGAATGAATCATAGACTTAATATGAAGGGAAAGGGCCTGGACCCAACCAAAAATGAAAAGAGCTGCCTCTCTGAAAAGAAATATATTTTGACTGAATTAAATTAAAATGGACTGAAGAGTAATTATTAACGTCTTTATTTTTTATATTCAGTAACTTCTTTTTTGGCTCCTCTAAAAAAAAATTTTTTTTTAAAAAAAAAATCACAATTGACCAGCCAATTTTTTGAAATGCTCTGGAAGACACAGCAGAGTTTTGGAAAGGGGCGTACAGTTTGTGCTCCCAAGCCTCCGATTGTTTTTCCGATTTAGCGTAATAAATTACCAGACCTTGATCCTAATTCAAGA